ACTTGTACTTTTTTGTTATTTCTATTATTTTGTTTCGCTTTTATTATGTCCGGCTTTAACAAGTGAGTTAGACGCCATCATGCCCGATTGGTGGTTTTGGGTCGTGGCACAAATGAACCTATCCAAGGTCTTAAAACTACTATATGAGCCCGGTAACACGAAATCCAACTTTCAGTCAAACCTAAGAACTCTCCAAACCTTTAAATTGCCAACTTTCAAAACATAGAGCCAAAACCTTCTAGGAATTTCCAATTCGAAATTCGAACATACGCCCAAGTCCAAAATCACCATATGAACCTATTGAAATCATCCAATTCTGAGTCCGAGGTTATTTACTCAAAAGTCAGACCTTGATCAACTCTTCCAACTTAAAGTTTTTAAATTGAGAATCACTCTTCCCAATCAATCCCGAACTTCTCGAACATCAAAATCAACTATATACGTAAGTCATAATGGATCATATGAAGCTTTAGAAGTCTTGAAGCACCGTATGAAATGTTAAAGATCAAAAGGATCTATTAGATTGTTATAAAGAATTTTTTTGTCTTGAATTTTTTTCTACTTTGCTTATACTTATGGGAAGAAACTATTCTTTTTCGTAACAGAAACATTATTTCTACTGCTTCTCAAACACCTTTCTTTTTTACCAAATATATCAAAACTCAAAAAAAAATAAAAAATATTACGTGATTTTACCTTTGCAAAAGCTTGGCAAAAAACATTATAAATTTATGAGTACAATAGATGCAAAGGGAAGATATTGGAACTAATTGACGGTTTGTTTACCCTCCAAGATGATTTGATAATGAAAACAGGCAGGTGCGGATTAACATAATATGGATTTAATTGAACCCATAATTTTTTTATACGGAGAATGAATTTATATGTAAATATAGATTAAAATTGTATCAAAGAATAGATGAACCCATAACTCTAAAAGTACAATGGGTTCAATATTAAAAATCTTAAAGATTAAATTCATAGTGTTTAAATTCTGAATCCGCCTCTAAATAAGTTTCATCACTCAAAAGATTGGCAAAATAAATTTACACTATTCAGAGGAGATGTTTGGAAAATTAGAATATCACATGTTCCATTTCACAAAATTTCAGAAAAATTACGAGCCCGTTTGGATGTGCTTGTTTTAAATGACTTTTAAGTCAGAAGTCATATTAGAAATTATACCTTTTGGCTTTTGGCTTATTTTTTTTTATCATTTTAGCTTAAAAACAAGTGCTCAAAAATATTTTTTTATTTTATTCAAATACTACAAAATGACTTAAAAGCTATTTTGGCTTAAAAGCACTTAAAATAAGTCAATCCAAACGGCCTCTACATCACATAAGTAGAACAAAAGCTAAACTAAGTACAACCAAAAAGTAGAACAAAGAGCCCACGACCCTACAAACTAAGGGCTCGTTTGGTATGGGGGATAAAGGATAATTAATCTCGGGATTAAATTTGAGATGAGTTTATCCCATGTTTGGTTGGGATAAAATTGTGGTATAAATAATAACGGAATTAGTTATCCCGGGATTGTAGTATTTTTTTATCCCTATGAAAAGGTGGGATAACTAATCCCGGAAAAAATAATTCCATGATAATTAATCTTGGGATAACTTATTTTCAACCAAACGACCCCTAAGTTACAAGGATGCTATTTTATTAGGGGTGAGCATCATTTGGGCAAAACCCGATATTCCAACCGAAATTCAATTTTTTTTAAATTTTTGGTTTGAATTTTCGTATTACAGATTAGATTTTAAATTTAATTTTTAAAATTTCGAATTGGATGTTGAATTTGGTACTTCTGATTTATGGATATTCAAGACTCTAAATTTTTTATACTTTATATTTAGTGCATTATCCATATGCAAATAGTAATAAGTCCAATACCTTACCCATGTGATGCTATCTTATATATTCAATACTAATTACTAAATTACTATCAGAATACTTTTTATTTGGATATGATTTTATTATTGATAATTCTTATCGGCCTTATAAGTGTTTATGTTAGATTTTCTCAATGATGATTTCATATGATTGCGGTGAGAATAATAAACTTTTTATGTAATTTAATAAATACTTTATTTGAATATTTATTTATTTTTGTAAGAAGAAAAAATATTTCAACTTATAGGCTCATATGAATTTAAATATTATTTTTTTAACCCAAAAATTTCATATCCGATCCAAACTACCCACCCCTATATTTTACCGTTCTTTAGTTCTATTGTATTTTCTATTGTGTGAACCAAATTGCTCCTTCCTAGTCCCTATAAGAACCATATTTGTTTCCTCGAATCAAGCCAAAACTAGATTAGTTTTCAAACAGAAGTCGAAATTTTGAGGAACAATATAATTTTCTCAAAATTGAGGGACTTGTAAGAAAGCCAGCAACAAATTAATGAATTCAAACTCTACAACTCAATTCAGTACTAGCCCTCTTTGCAACTCTGCGAGTACGCACTACAGAGTACAGACTTGAAGATTCCTTTGTCCCTAGAAATCATCACCCCACTATTTTCTCAGCTTCCTTTGCTTCTGCCAAAAACCCATATTCATCTCTCTTACTCATGGTATGGAGTGTAAAAAGCTGGATTTGTTTTTTGTCTAAGCTGAATATCTTGTCCATGTCCAACTGAACCCCTAGTTGAAAACTGTATGTAACGACGTCGTAAAGTAGCTGCAAAAACATCAGAGTCTACTCCTTTACTTTGTTGCACCTATTTAGCATTTCTTTCCTGTGGGGTAAGCGTTTTTAGTGTTTTTGCTATTAGAAATCTCCAAAAATATAGAATCTTGATTTGTTTTAATTTAATGAAACTTTGAACCCTTAATTCCTGGTGTCTATTCTAATAATAAGCATATTTATTTCAGCGGGAATCTTGGTTCTTGTTTACCACTTTGGTACAATCATCTTTTCTATTCGCCCTCATATTCTGTGTTCAAAAAAAATTTCTTTTTAAAAACAAAAAGAAAACTAACTGTGTCATTGGATTAGATCTTTTAATCAAAATCTCAAAATGGGTGTAGAATCAAAAACTGAGGGAATGAAATCTGCAGCTAAACCATCTTCAAACATTTCTGAAATCGTCTCCGAATTTGCCAAAGTTTGTAAATTTAGGTCCATTGGGGTCTTCACTTCTGAAAACCTTGATAATAATCAACATGAGCTGTACCTGAATAATGACAACAACTTTCTCAAAGTGTTTAAAGAAAGCAGTAGTGATGCTGCTGAGGAAGCTGGATGTGATGCTATTAAAGTTCATCCTCAGCATGTGGATATTCAGAGTGATGCTAAAAGATCTGGTCGGATTGACCAAATCTTGAAATTGTTTGACACTGTTTCAGCATTGAAAGTAGCTTATGTTCAGCTCCAACAAGCTCACATTCCTTATGACCCTGATAATATAAGAGCTGCTGATGGAGTTATTGTCTCTCAGCTTGAGTCGCTGTGCAAGATTAAGCGATCATACAAAGAGCGGCAGTTGAAGGATTTGAATTCGTTCTCAGCCACTTCAGCTCTCTTTCTTACAGAAATACAAGTTAAAGAGAGACTTCTGGAGAAGTTGAAATCTCAACTTAAGATTAAGGAGTCCAAGGTTGTTAATTTTCGACAAGAGCTTCAAGATTTGGAGTTGAGTAATGGGAAGATGGCTGAAATTTTGAACAAGAGTGAAAAGGAGAGTTCGAGAATGCTGAGTTTCACTTCCTTTGAGGCCACTGTTGAAGCTGTGTCAAAGGCTGTCCATGATTTTTCCAAGCCATTAATTGCCTTGATGAAAGTCTCAGGCTGGGATCTAGACAAAGCAGCCGAGGCAATTGAAAGGTCTGTTGTGTATTCGAAGAGGTCGCACAAGAAATATGCTTTTGAAGCTTATATTGCTAGGAGGATGTTCAATGAATTCTCGCCTCAATCTTGCAATGTCGACAGAATTATGAAGCTCGATGATCCAATTGGTGCCCTGATTATAGATACACAATCTGCTTTTGCCCAATTCTGCAGAGAAAAGTATCTGTCCATAGTTCATCCTATGATGGAAAAATCTTTCTTTGGTAATGTCGACCATAGGACATTAGTAAGCAACGGGATGCATCCCCAAACACCACTCTATCAAGCATTTGTGAAAATGGCAAGATGTGTCTGGATTCTGCAGGCTACTGCAGCTTCAGTTGAACCTAGAGGTGAAATATTTAGAGTGAAAAGAGGAAGTCATTTCTCCAATATGTATATGGAGAGTGTGGAGGAGTTTAACAAAGATGTTGTGCTCAATCTTGGGCATGAGAAATGTAGAGTTGAACTTATGGTCATGCCTGGGTTCCTAATTGGGAACACAGTTATTAGGTCTCGAGTTTATCTCTCGAAGATGGATGAGTGATAGTCGTATGCATTAGGAGAAAGTACTGTTATGTTGCTGACTTAAACTCTAGGAAAAGTCTTTTGATGTTTTGTCAGTTTTACTGGGGATTGTTCTTAGCAGTTGCAGCTTGCAGAAAGATGGGTATGTACTCACAGATAGATCCTTCAGCTTGTATCTTTGAGGTATTGCCTTCCAATATCCCCATACTGTTATAAGCAGTTCCTTGCCTTTGAAGTGTAAATATAATACTCCGTGTTTAATTAGTTTGCTTGATCATTTTACATTTTAATCTGCACCTCTCGTCATTGCAGCTTGTGGTCTTAATTTAAGAAATTTGAGATAACTTTGATCCTTACTTTTCAATACCGATGTGTTTGTCTAGTATTCTAAGAGACAGGACAACAGTTAGCACAACTGTCCTATAATCGATAGTTTCATCATACTTAGTTTCTCTTCTTAACTAACAACTAGATTGGTGAATGTCTATTCAACGGGGAAAAAAAAGGAACAATCTTTTAAGTTTCTGCACGTTCCATTATGCTGATGATATTTGCATTGCAACTAAAAGAAAAGAGAAGAAAAAAGCTGTCTTTTTTTTTTCTCTTGCCTCTCTACCTTTATAAGGTAGGGATAAGGTCTACGTACACACTATTCTCCCCAGACCCCACTTATGAGATTACATTGGGTTTTTTGTTGTTAGTAATTAGCTGTGGGGGCTGTTTTGAGGAAAAGGTGTAGTGATGGTCATAAATGTGATTGAAATACTGTATGCGATGAACATTTTAAATCCCCTGCTTGTTGGGCTTGCTGCTTTTTGCTATTGCTGTTTCAGATCTGCAAATACATACATATAAAGGGCTGTAAAGACATAAGTTGTGCTCAAACGATAAGATAAAGCAATTTCATTATAAGTCACTTTAGAATGTTAATGTCGTCCTCATAGCTATTCGAAAACAAATCCCTGCATAGCTCTCCGTAGAATCTGCACACAAGGTCAATGAAGACGGGGCTTTTGAGATTTTTCCAACAGTATAACAATTCTTCCACATCCGCCAAGTCCCTCATTTTTCCTTCTTCCACAATCATTTCCACCAGATAATTCTCAAAGCTTCTGCATGCATCTTCTACATCATCCGCTTCTTTTTTAGTGGCTGTACTCAATCTAACGTAAGCTGGGGTGAGGGGTGAGGGAAAGGGTGCTTTGTGATGTTCTACTTCTGAGAAACTCTTGAGCTCCATGACTTGGTCCTCTTCTGGCTCTCTCCCTCTTCTTCTTAGAGAACGAAAAACTGACAGAATTATCTGTGAAGATCGGTTCCTTTTATCAGTTTCGTGTACTGAACGACGAAACCTAAGTCTACTTATAAAGAGGGGCTTTCTGAGTCTGAACTTGAAAAGCCTAAGTATTTTGTTGCATGGATTGACAAGCTTGCATTTGAAGGGACCTAATGCTTTCACTTTCATCATATTTGAACCTTTATGGTTGAGGAAAGAGTATGGATGAAGCAATGATTTATCTTTCTTTCAGTTTGGATATGACAGGAGAGTAGTGGTCTATTGCTGTTCTGAGACAAATATGTGTTTGTTGAAAGTTTGGTGTGAAGGAAGGATGGTAGAAGGGGTACCCCTTTTTCTAATGATGAGTTGTGGGCTACACGTTTCATGTTGAAGTAAAAGTGGTATGCATGAAAGAAATGTCTTCAACTCTTTGTGGAGGAACACTTGATGGTCTCCCATGAAGTAAGATTTCCATAATTGTCAAACTTGAGTTTGTTTGGGGAGAGAGGGTGGTTGCTACATCTAATTGAATATTTAATTGGGTATAGGCGAAATTGCCGCTTTAGGGTTATGGTCTTAACTATTGCACTACTGACCGTGGATAACAGTAAAAGTCTTTTGCACAACACAAATAAGGGTGTGTTTAGGTTCAATTTCATTGGGTTAAATATTTTGAAAAATAGCTTCCTTGGAGACACATTTTCCTTTAATTTCTGCAAGTGACATCCCTATGACAAGGGAAAAATATTTCCCAGAACTCTCCAATTGATGATTTCAACCCTCTCATCCCTTCCCCACCCTCTACACCCTTCTCCCCTCACAAGGGAAAAATATTCTTTTGACCATAGGGATGGGGAAGGGATGAGAGGGTTGAAATGGGAAATATTTTTCCCTTATGTTACTTTTATCTTAAGAGTTATAAATTACAGTAAGGATATTCTTTTGACCATAGTAAAGTGATAAAAGCTTATATACAAGATATGTCTTGCATTCAATTATTTGGCGCACATACCATTCAGGAAAAAATGTTAGATGGAAGTAGGTTTTTTTCTGTTCAAATGCTTATACTAAGGTCTAAAACAAATGATCCTTGTTCAATTTCATAATTATACAAATGATGGATTACAGTCACTTGGTAAACGACGAATCACTACCAGCAGAAAACAGAGATAAGGTCAACAAAATTATCATTGGCAAGGCTGAAGTTACTCTTCTCTCACCATCTTCTCCATGAACTCTTTTTAAAACTCATTTCATCGTGGGTCTAACATTTTCCAGTAGTTACTTTCGTCCCCTCTCTGTCGGATCTTATAGGTTGGGCCACTGAGAATACCATAATAGTTCAACTGGTTGTTTATTTCCATCATAGGTTGGATATGTAAACGGGCTTGCTTAGATAAACGGCGTGAGCTGTCTAATTTTTGAGCCGCTAATTAATGTCTAGTCACCGCTTGAAGTATACAGTCAGACCTTATATAACGACATCCTTATATAATAGTTATTCACTATAAAAATTATATTTTTTTCAGAACCGATTTAATATGTTATATTTTACCTCTCTATACCAGTTTTTTACCAATAACAACAACAATCATCTTTATAAGATTTTAATTTGATCAATTCTTTTAAAACTTTAGTGCACCACTTCTAATAAAAAATATTATGTTCGTACATACTTCCATAATTAAAGATTTCATTTAACTCTATTAAAAGGTATGTTTATATATTTTCATTCTACTGCACAAAAGGTTCTATCATGCACAATGTCAAATATATGAACATCTCCACATACAATCTTTTTCACTGGACAAAGTTTTCATCTTGTATAATGCTTAAGATTCAAAGATTTATACATATCTTTTTCAGAGTTATTCCATTAATCTTGAAAGATTTAACTTCCTACTAGCTTTAAAATATTTGTGTTAGAGTTTAAATCTTTGTACACTTAATTATGAATATATTAATAATGTATTAGCTTTCTTTAATATTTAATTAGTAAAATATGCATATCTTTTGAAATTTTAAATTTGAATAATTTTTTATCTTTTATAGTATGTAACATTAAATAATGGAAAGAATAGTTTTTGATAATTTTTGTCCTTAACAGCCAGGAAATATTTAAACGTTAAATGTTGTTATAAGTATATAACAACCATTCGCTATAGAAGCCTAAAAATGTCGGAACAAATGATATTATTATACAGAGATTTGACTGTAATTAAAAAAAATCAGTTCTCTTTTGATGATACGAGTTCTCTAATTTCTACTGTGCTCCTTCATCAGACCTGAAACATATTTGCAAAAGAGTTGTTGGAAAATTAATTCAAAGTTGTAGTAGGAAACTTTAATCGTTTAAGATTTGATATTTGCTAGTTTATTTATTTCATGTCCCAATAGGATTTGTAGTTATAATTAATATAAGAATAGGCTTTCCTGTTTCTAGTTGAAATAAGTTTCGTACTATTATAAATAGGGGTATTAATAGCTTATTTTAAGTGTAGAGATTTGTGAGAATTGTAGAGAGCTTTCAGAGAGTTATAATAAAATATTTTTCCTTCAAATTGGTATCAGATCTTGGGAGAGAATCAAGCAGCTTCCACTGCCGGCGGGCGGCGCTAGCCAATATGTGCCGCATGCCTGGCCATTGAGTATGTTGAAAAATGTCAGGCCAGTGATATATGCATGAGAAAAATCATGTTGAGAAGGATTGGAAAAAAATTCAAGTTCAAGGAGACGCTAACAAATATGGCACTTGAGGAACAAATATCTTCTCTAAAAGTTTGAGAGAGGTGGATTAAAAATAAAATTGCAATATTGCAAGTTTAAAGAGATGCAAGAAATTTTACATAAGAGAAAGAAACACTTCTCTAAAAGTTGGAGAGAAGTTAAAAAAATTGGAAGTTGATTACAAGTGAATCAACAATTAGGAGGACAGGTGCATCAGCAATTGGATGTTGGTGTGTAACGATCCAACCGGTCGTTTTGAGTATTTTAGCCCTGATCCCCTATTTATTACCTCCTCTATGTTATATTGTGGTTATGTGACTTGCCGGGGTGTTTGGTTTTGGTTTCGGGTGAGTTTCGGAATGAAATGGGATACTTAGTCCCTAAGTTGGAGATTTAAGTTGAAAGAGTTGACCGTAGTTTGACTTTTGTGTAGAGGACTCCGGAATGGAGTTTTGACTGTTCCAATAGCTCTGTATGGTGATTTTGGACTTAGGAGCGTATCCGGATGTTGATTTGGAGGTCTGTAGGTCGTTTCGGCTTGAATTGGCGAAAGTTAGAAAGTTGAAGGTTTGGAAGGTTGAGAAGTTTGATCGGGAGTTGACTTTATTCATATCGGGGTCAGATTCTGATTGCAGAATTTGGAATAGGTTCGTCATGTCATTTATGACTTGTGTACAAAATATGAAGTCAATAAAAGTTGTTTTGATATGAATCGACATTTGTTTTGGAATTCGGAAGTTCATAGTTTCAATAGGCTTGAATTGGGTTGCGATTCGTAGAATAGATATTGGTTAATGTGATTTTTTTCCTCGAGTATGTCCGTCATGTGTTTTAGAACTTGTTGGTATATTCAGATGGGGTCCCGGGGGCCACAAGTGTGATTCGGATTGAATCTGGAACAATTTTGGACCTTACGCATTGCCGAATCTCTGCTGTGTCTGGTGCGATCGCACCTGCACATTTTGGGCCGCAGGTGCGGCACCGCAGAAGCGGCTCTCGCGCCGAAGAAGCGAGAATTGGACTTGTCAGCTGTGACCGCAGGTGCGGTAGTTTATCCGTAGAAGTGAACTTGCATGCGGGGAATGCATCGCAGAAGCGTATATGGCCAGGAAGGCCTGGGATCGCAGAAGCGGACATCGTTCACAGAAGCGCATTTTTGTCCGCAGAAGTCGAAGCGCAGAAGCGCGTTTGGTCCGCAGAAGCGGAAAGTCATGGCTTAAGTTGGAACCGCACCTGCGATGGATTTTCCGCAGGTACGCCGTCGTAGATGCAACCCTATACCCGCAAATGCGATTTCACTAGGCAGAAATATAGGGCATCAAGGGTTTGATTTTACTTTTTATTTTTGGATCTAGAGAACTCGGTTTGTTGTGATATTTTGAGAGTTTTTCAAGAAAATCATTGGGGTAAGTGATTCTAACTCGGTTTTGGCTAAATTACACAAATCTATTGTTATTTTCATCATTTAATTAGTGATTTGAGTTGGAAATTTGGGAAATATTGTGAAAACTTCTTAGGCTAAATGTTGGGGATTTGAAAGGCGATTTGAGGTCGGATTTGAGTAATTCTTGTATGGTTGGACTCGTTATCGAATGGGGTTTGGATTTTATAATTTTGGCCGGGTTCTGAGACGCGGGCTCGGGTTGACCTTTTGAGTTGAGTTTTTGTTTCTTTTTAAAGATTGTAACTTTATTGTTCGGAATAGTTTCCTATAGTTTATATTTATGGAATGAAGTTGTTTTGGCTAGATTCGGGCCGTTCGGAGTTGGATAATTGAGAAAAAGTCTTACTAGTAGATTGAGTTAGCGTGGTTTGAGGTAAGTATCTTGTCTAACTTTGTGTGGTGGAATTACCCCTTAGGATTGGTGTTGGTGTTTATTTAATTGTGATATGTGAAAGTCGTGTACACAAGGTGACGAGTGTGTACACGAGCTCAATGTGAAAATTGACCGGTTTTAGCTATGTAGATTCCTTCCACGCCTTAATTGAGTTACCTTAACATGTTATATTCATCCTCATTAGTCTATCTTCACATGCTCTATTTGCCTTATCTCTTACTTATTAATTGTCTTTACATGTTTAGTTGAAGTATTGTTTCCTCTATTCCTTATTCATTATTTAACCGTTGAGTTCTTTACTTGAAGTTGTTATTCTTGGAATATCTTATTGTTAAAATTGGTATTGAGTTATAAAGGCCTTGATTCACATTGATGCAAAGTTGTAAAGTTGTGAAATACTATTCTTGTTGAGTTATTCACTTCCGGTTGTTATTGTGAGAATCTTGTGCATATTGTGGTTGAGCCATGGGCGATTTATTGTGGAAACACCCTTATTGTTGACTTCTTTGGCAAGTTGTGATATTGGGCACTTGAGGTGCGATTTGTGTTACGTTGTGATATTGATACGCATGCGGTGGTATAAGGATTTGGGGTTGAAACACATGCGGTGAGATAAAGTGGGCATGATACGCGTGTTGCTAGTAGGGGAACTACTTGAAGCCACACAGTGTGATAAGGTAGACTAAAACGCGGGAAGCTATTTCGGAAAAAATGATTTTCAAAACTAAATGC